GTGCAATTTGAAGTTCAGTGAATGCTTTTGTTGTGAAGTGCACCATGTATTGTCATTAAAAAGTCTGCCAACATTGTTATCATATTTACCTACAAATTGTACAATTTTCTATAAAAGTCATTATCTATGAGGCATGAAGCGTTAAACTGATATCATTCTGAACATTGATTATTTACAAATATGATAAAACATACACTACCTAAAAATAAATCAATGGTAACTCATATATACAGTTTAATTTAATAATACTACAGGCTTGAAACGTTACTTTTCATTAGATAATCGTGACATTTATATATACTATATACACCTCTGCTGTCAATTTATGATTTTTCTTTTATTTCCTTTTTTGTAATGAAGGAAGTTTGCTCTTTTATATATTTATTAAAATATTCGTTTTATGTTATATAGCCGTACATAAACGGATGTCAGCAATATGATATTCACCTTGCAGCTCGGGTTATTCATGCAAACAATCGTTACAAATTCAAAATCTTTATAACTAAGAATATACTCAGCAAATGCAAATTACCATTAAATGGACAACATTATCATAATTTGGTTATAAAGACTTATGACATGTTATATGGCCGTGTATAAAATATGGTTTGTTATATAACCATCATCTAGTGACACGGGCAATATAATCTGTCAGAATCATTATGCATTATAATGTATCGTCATATACATATTTACGTGTATTGCCGTGTATCACCAAAATAAAAAACTGTTACTTGTGTACGTTTGTTCAGAAAACTGAAATACTAAATATAAAAGCGAAATCTCTAAAAACAAATCTGTTAAATATTATACACACTTTAAAAACTGCTTACAAAACTACATTTGTAATACATATAACGCTAGAAAAATGTTTGAAATTATATTTTGTTAAATAAGATGGTAACATTTTTGTTAAAAAAGGTGAAAAAATAGCACTGAACATGCAATGATGTCTTGTAAAAGTAGTAAAATGTAAACAAGGTAGTATTTTGACTTCCATACAAAATATTACTTCACTATAATTGTACAAATTGCCAATATAGCAAAAACAGCAAAAGATAGTTTATGTATATGGCACATGAGGTTTTTTTTGAAAACTGTAACAAGATAATTGAAATAAAAAAGTTTTGGAGAAATAAAGCTGATAGCAATTCTGAAGTATTATGGGCCTTTTATAATAAATTATTTAACAATTCTTGTAATATAATATCATTCTAAAATTGCAGAAACATATTTATACATGTATAACTAATTAAATTCAATAATTTCAATAAGACTTCTTTAATAGACAAAAGTTTTTTGAAGGAGTACTGAAATATTTGACAGTGGTCTTGATGTAATTTTCTTTTCCGATGCAATTTTGTTTTGTACAAAACAGGTACAAGGTAACTGTGTGATGCAAAAGTTTTCTTTTATGCTTCCATTAAACCACGAACCAGAATATTATTCAATGTATTGGCAAGTAATGATATTCGAGGTATGTCCCTTTACAGCCAGGTTATCAGGTGCGAAATCATAATATTGAATTATTTAAGAACTGTAACATCTTTGTTATTCAGAACATTCATCAGGAGATAGAAGGGAAAAGTCGAACATTTGTGATTGTCCTCATTGTCCCTGTAGATTTATTATAGCTGATATTCTGAAATAAAGGAAAGTAATAAGTCATAATTATTACACTGTGTAGCAGGAATGTCATATTCTAACACTGAATATTACAATTTATTTAATTTTACCCATGAAATATGGTGCTATATCAGTCAAATATATTTCATATTTTTTAAAAATAAATATGAAATTTAAATATGAAAGTGGGCGGAGTCAAAACTCATATTTATTTTATGGGACTTCTTTCGCCGTTTTGTTTGAAAAATCTGATAAATACAAAACAACTTTTTCTTGAATTTTGTTTTGAAAACTATCTAGCATGAAAGAAAATGGTCTAACTAAGAAAATCAATCCGAACACCAATATCTTTAATTCAGTAATTAACGCTGTACAGACGTTTAAAGAGTTGTTTACATGACGTCACAATGTAGCGCCAAACAGCGCGTGCTTACGCATAAATTACTGCGCGCTGTACAATTGCAGTTTCTAACAAGCAAGGGGATTCGTTACCATTTTCTTTGATAATGAAATTAAATAAAAAGGTTATTTTTTCGTTTTTCGTGAAATATGGTATATATTTTCACTCAACATGAACTTTGACAGAAAAACAACAACAAAACAATTGGGGTCATCTACAGGTAGTAACTAATCTCCATACCAAGTTCGTAGTTAATAAAGCAAGGCGATCATAAGTTATTGACTTGAAATGGTTAGGTCTACAAACCAATTTACAGGAGTACCAACCGACTGACAAGTGTGATGCAATAAGTCACTAAGTGTAATACCCCGACTTTTTCTAAGGCAGCATAACTATGTTTATTTACATAGTTTATGAGGCTGTCGTTTATTAGGCTGTCCATCATGAAGATATTTAAAAAGTCATACCAAGACAAGAAGAAGTTTTTCAAATACATCTCTTCAAATTTATATATCATCACACAATGTTCCATGTAAAATGTCACGGAAAATTCTGCACAACACAGTATCGGAAGTTTTGATGTTAGGCCGCTGAAACAAGAAATAACAAATACTGTACTGTATAAATTGTGAATTTTTAACGAATTTGTAGAATTCTTATCTAGTAAAACATTTTACGTTCAAGTATATGAGTGGTATACTGATTTCCATGAAACATTAGTTATTACAGGCTGGAGAATACTGACATGTAGACTAGTGACGTCATGAATACTGGTTAGGGGGCATGATTGTGAACAAGAGTGAAAAATTTAAAAGCCAAATATATCCATGGACTTTCAAATCGCAAACTTAAACGTAATTTGTAAGTCGAAAAAGGGTAATTATTTTGTCAAAATGCTTAATAGAGTTACCTCTACATGTCTACATGTGGGGGCCTGATTGTAAACAAGTGTGCACATTTTCAAAGCCATATGTCAATGGACTTAGAAATTTTTTAGGTAAAATTCAAACTTTAACATAAATTCTAAGTCAAAAAGGTGCATAATTCTGTCAAAATGCAGAATAGAGCTACTTCCTCCTGCATACAGGTTGGAGGCATGTTGGTGAATATGTGTGCAAACTTTAAAAGCAAAATGTCAATGGACTTTGAAATATTTGAGGTGGTACGCAAACTTTAACATGAATTCTAAGTAAAAAAGGACACAATACTGTCAAAATGCTTGATAAGGTTATATCCTAATATGTTTAGAATGGGGACATGATGATGATCAATTGTGCAAAGTTGCAAAGCCATATGTTAATGGATTGTGAAAATTTTTAAGGTGGTTCACAAAACTTAAACAAAATTTCTAAGTTGAATAAATGGTTATTTGTCAAAATGATTGATAGAGTTACCTGCTCTTGTATACAGGTTGGTAGCATGATGTTCAACAAGTGTGCAAAGTTTTAAAGCAATATGTCATTGAACTTTGAAAATAGTTTGGGTGGTACACAAATTTTAACATAAGCTCTAATTAATATAAGTCGAAAAAGGGGCATAATTCTGTAAAATGCTTAATAGAGTTACCTCCTCATGTCCACATGTGGGGGAGGGGCATTATGATAAACAAGTATGCCTTATGTCAATGGACTATGAAACTATTTGAGGTGGTACTCAAACTTTTAATGTAAATTATAAGTCGAAAAAGAAGCATAATTCTGTCAAAATGGTGAATAAAGTTAACTTCTCCTGTCTACATGATAAACAAGTGTGCTTAGTTCCATAGCCATATGCCAGTGAACTTTGTAAATATTTAAGGTGGTAATCAAACTTTTTATGTAAATTCTTAGTAGAAAAAGGGGCACAATTCTGTCAAATTTGTGAATAGAGTTACCTCCTCCTCCTGTCTTCCGGTTGGGGACATGATGATGAAGAAAAAGCCATATGTTAATGGACTTTGAAATATTTGAGGTATATATAGTTAAATAGCAAGTGTTAAATTATTTTCACGTGTCTTAATTGACACAGTTAATTAAAGGTTTTATTTTAACTATTAAATCTACATTTAGAATAAAAAAATTATTGAAAAATATTAAAAATGGAATTCTTTATTGTTATATAGATTCTTTTATTAATTAAAAGAAAATCTTATACTATAATTCACATAGAATATTTTATTTCAATACTTAGATATGTTATAGAAAACAAATATAAATCAGTCAAATAAAAATGTCTTACCTGTAAAATATTTCCAAGTCTTAATCCAAGTTTTATATCCGGTAAATAAATTCTTTGAATTATTAATCCTCTTAAAATGTATTTGTTTATTTATTAACAACTGTCACTTAATTAAACTTTAAACAGAAAAAAATGTTTGTATTCAATCAAATGACCAAACTATACAGTACATGTTTAACGTAGAATAAACCGCCATTCTGTTTTTTAAGTGTCCATTTTATATTGATATCATTTTAAAATTATGGAAGTAATTTCTTCAAATTATTGTACATTGTTTTTTCCTGCCTGTTGTCTTGAATGCAAAAAATACGCGGTCTTGTACCTCATAAGAAGTTTGTCTCAGTATATGTTCTCTAACACGGTCATATTCTGTTTTTGGTTTAATGGCGGTCATCAGTACATTAACTGATTGCGGCAAATTTTCTAGCACGGTAATAAAGTTCTGTAAACTTCTAGCAGACATTTCTACATTCATCAAGAACACATTTTCAATATTCAACATGTTACGTGACAGTAACACTGAACTTTCATCTAGATTGATTCCCCACAACAAAACATGAACTAATGACGGCATTGATATATTTAATTTTAGCCTCCAAGGTAACTCCTGCAAGACTAACACTGAAAGAGTTGAATGTTTAGACAAGTCCAAGTTCCATCTCTTACAATTATGGCCGCCATGTTCTTTACAGTCTAACTTCACCAAATTTAACTCTTTCATTGATTTTTTACGCGGCGATAAAATTTGAAAATTGTTTCCAGTATTTTTGTGAGATAACGCGAAGTTGTGAATTTGTAAATATTGTAAGTTTTGACATCGCGCCATGTTTTTACTCAGATTTTCTTCAAAATCATTTGTCCATTTACCACTCTTCAATATACGCGCTGCAAACTGGGAAACAAATATCCGATTTATCTCAGCCTCCTTCTCATTGTCACCACAATAGTAAAGTTTATGAATATGACTGAGATCTGAGAGAGAGAATAAATCTATTATTTCACGTAAACTGCTGGAAGTACGGCTGATGTTTATATTAAGTGATTTTATGTTGGTTTTGTTTTGTTTTAACAAACGTTGTAACTGCTTATTGTGCATGGTGTCGTGGTCAATGAAGAAATCTTGTAAACATAATTGAATATTTTCACTTTCAGGCATTTCTTGTAAACAAGACATGTACATTTTCTGTATGGCATACAATGGATTATTGTTCGTGGCGTAATTATTATCTACCATAATTCTATAGCCGTATGTTTTCTCGTCTTCATTTATCACAGACTTCAGATCATTTAATATTACACACATCCGATTAGAATTCATTTTACTTATAAATTCATAAATTTTTGACATGTCCAGAATCACTTGAGCATTTCTACATGTTTCTACAACAGTTTTCTGAGCCTCATTTTCAGAACTTATAAATATTGCAGCAAAGAATTCTTGAACTGTTTTGTGGGAAAATGATACTTTACTAAACTTTTTTGTCAGTGTTTTGGATGTACTTTCCGACAACACACCTGCATTAAGGGTGAAATTCATCTCGTCTATTGAAAGATATTTTTCAGCAACTGATCTATCAAATACTAGCGTGGTTTCTTTGGTTTCATTGAATAACGTTAAATAAGCTAATTTCCCTAAACACATCAGGAGTGAGGAGCATTTCGTACAGTTTTCATATTTAGCAAAGCATTTTGGGATGTCACTTTCAGAAAGGTCACACAATTGTTGAAGATTCCCATGCTTCTGAATCGTTCTTGAAAAGAGCAGTTCTACTATATTTATATAGAGTTCACATTTTGAATTTCCTATTTGAACACCGTCACACCATAAACAAATTGTATATATCAAAAGTAGAGGCACAGAAATAAGTTCATCATTTTGGCTGCTTTCGATGCCTGTTATATACGCTGTGACATCAAGTTGTAATGCATCCTTATTCGGGTAAGATTTCAATCTTTGTAATATCCTTTCTGTAAGTGTAACTGCTGATTTGTAACTCAGTTTTGTAAGTTCTACCTTTTTTTCTATTTGGCACGAATTTAGATTCAAAACTCCTAATTTCCATGGTCTTGTAGTGGTCAGTATTGTACACTTTTCTCTGTCATTCCTATGGGGGATTGCTCGCGGCGATCTGTGACATTCCTTTTCTGGGTGTGTCCATTCATCTAGTCCATCAAGTATAACGAGGCATTTCTCATTCTTCAAAATTTTAAGGAGAAAATCCTCGGAAGGCTTTTCTTGTACACCCACATTGGAAACAATCTTTTTTAAAATGAGATCATCTATAGAACATAAATCGTTAGAATCTCGCAGTAAGACCAAAAATAAGAAATCAAATCCCTGCATACAGTCTATATCGTCCTTTTCAAAAGATTGAGTCATTTTTTCATCTGGAAAATGAGCTTGACACCACGTGATCGCCAGATAGTTTGAAAATGCAGTTTTTCCGAGACCAGCATCAGCAATAACATATATTTCTCGGTTGGCTTCATTCTCGGTTTTAAACATCGCTGATAACGATTCCACTGGTGTTTTTTCATCATTTCTCATCGGTGCTGAGATTATTAAGTTCAATGCAGGTCTTATGTAGAAAGAAGCCAAAGGCGTGTCATTTTCATCGAAAAGGGGCGACAGGAAAATTTTACTGTGTCTCGTTTTGTAGAATTCAATCAAACCATCTTTGAGCTCTGAAAAATGAAATGTAAACTGTTAATATCTCAGGAATATAAAGTAATCATAAACATATTATTGTTAAACTTTAAACCTCTATGTAATCTTTAAAATAATTTATGTTATTATTATCAATAAGAATAGAGTAACAATATACAGTATTTCAAGAATTGTTACACGGATTCGAAGAATGTGCTTAATGTGTGGTTAACCGTTTTATTCTGCATATTTGTATGGAGATAAACGAAAGGGTCAGCATTTGATTACCAGTACTAATTTAGAAACTAGACATAGCCGTTACATGAATTATTTTTCGCCAAATGAAATCATTCAATGCAAAGGGACAATGGCCTTTAAATCAGCCCTTACCATCCAACTATGTATGTGATGTAAAAAATATATGACTGTATAATACTAGAGAACAGCTTTTATCCATTTCTTTATAAGTATTTTTGTACTGTGAACCATGGCTTAAGTGGCTCGCCTGATAGCCATTTTTAGACAAGTTTCAAGTTAAAAAGTAAAAATGTACATGTGGTTTAAATGTGAAGACTATACCTGTACGAAATTTTCTGCACGGAAATGGGTCGCAATTCAATGGCAGATTCCGCCTAGAAATTTAAATTCTCCCCGAAATATACAAGTGTTAAACAATTGTCTTTTGGCACGGATTCCGGCCGGATTCCAGGCGGAAATAGGACGGATTCTGGGCGGAATTGGGACGAAATATGCAAATGAGTAGGAGCGGAATTTTGAAGAGGAATCTTTGGGCGGGATTTTAAAGTGGAATCTTGGGACGGAATTTGGGAGAGGAATTTTGGAGCGGAATTGTCAAACAAGATTCTGGGCGAAATTCTCGGACAGAATTCAGGGCAGGAATGTGTGCGGCAGAATTTTTATGAATATAACATGATCACATATTTTGGGGTAAAATTATCAATAATGTATCACATTAAATTTTCTTTCACAAAATTTAATACATATCCTTTAGTCCAAATACAGAATAGAATACCCTTCATTCACGATAACACAACCCGTTCTTTTCTAGCTGCAGGATTTGGTAGGTACTGGTTTTATAGAAACCAACACTTTTTTTAAATTATTTTGCTGGAAGTCTGTCAGTGAGAAAATAGTTCAATCATCAATTTGTTTCAAATGTTTCTGATAATTTAAATTACTATTTCTTTCATTATGGATGTCTGTTTTAAGTCCACTGCCTGTGTTTCCTAGAATTTCTTGTGGTTGTGCTCACCTTTGATAATAAAAGTCATAATTAATTAAACAAAAATGTTGTAAAGAATTATGTTTTATTGCATATATGCAGTTATATTTCATATTTTTCAATAATATCAAATTTTATATTTAAACAGTATTAAGTATTAACTGTGCTTATGCATATTCAAAAATACTAAGTTAATGCAGTATCTTATTTCAGTGCGCAAGTGTTTAAGAATTGCTCTGTATAAGAATTCATTAACTGTTTGATTTGTGACACTATTTATTACTGGTTACGTATTTCTTTCAAGGAAAGATGTTGAATAAAAGAAAATAATGCGATTTAAAAATATACCTTTTAAGGAATATACTGCACATCATTATTAAACCCCTGGCATCTCACAATCAGCACTTAAGTCCCAGCCTGTAAATATGTGTAAAATGTAATTTTAGATTGTTCAATTGAAAACACAACACATACATGTAAAATAATAAATGATTGTGATGACCCTGTTCAACTGTACAAAACTACTGATTGTACCATTTAGTCCCATTTAATCAAATTGATTTAACTTGTTTAATTTCCAGGAAAAATGAAAAAGATTTACTTACATGCTTTTTATACAGTGTACACTATAATCATTAATATATAATCATAATATAGAATCATAAAACAATTTTTATCTTACATATTATACATGTATTAAAGATTTAAAACAATTATCAGGAAAAAACAAATGTATGAAGTTGAAAATATAAAAACATCATTGAAATCTTGTTACAAAATTTAGTTTACTGCCATTGATAGTTTGATATAAAAAGACTTTTCTGCATTAATGTAACTAAAGGTTTATAATTACCTGATTATGTTGTACATTTCCATGTCCCATGTTATCACATTTATTTATCATACTAATACTTTAACACTTTGAAACAAAACTATATCTCCAAAATTGCTAACATATCAAGTACGAGTAAATTCACTGAAATTTGCACTCTTTTGACCCAGATATCTTAGAATTCAAAATCTACAAATGGACAGGTCCATCATTATGTAAAACAGAGTTAATTTACTCATCATTTTAACTTTCATTCATTAAATGTAAAAAAAATCAAATAACTAATAGATTTATATGGATTTAAAAAATCATTACAAATATTTGTACAAAAAAATTGCATTGTTCTAGACAAATTCTGCATATGCAATTTACATTGTTATCTCTCCCCAAAATAATCACATCGAACAGCCTGATCTGTTGAGTAAATTAGTCATGTATAGATGGTGGGAAACTGCTGGTCAGTTGAGTTCTATCAGAACTCTGATCTGTGTAGTGTAAAATCTCAGTGGATATACATTGTAGTATTAATAATTTACCTATTGGGCATATTGGTTGATCAATTCTATATAGATAAAAGGGCATAATATGGGATTATTTCATGCAGTTTTTGTTTTGATTCTGTTTACTTTTGTTTTTTGTTTTTGTTATAAAAAAACATAAATTCTAGGAATTTAAAATGGCAAGCACACTATCTTGTCTTTTGGTTGTCCTGTATTCTATAGTATATTCAAATTTAAACAGCATTCTTATTTCAATGTTGCTTTCAAATGATGTCCTAAAATCACATTTAAAGTTACAAAATACAGTACATGTATATACAAGTTGTATGAAAATCATTATATCATAAACTTAAGCATTTTAGAGGTGAATGCTTTAAATTTCTACTCTTAGATTGTTACAGTTGCAAAATAATTGCAAAAAAGAATTGCTAAATTAGTATTTATGATTACTTGGGTGTCGTTTATTATTAATGTGAAACACCTATGACAAAATGTTATTTTTATTTTACCTTAAAGCTGCGCGCCTCCAGATGAGCCAAAATAGTTAAAAAAATCAATATTTGGAAAAATGTACTAAAAGTTTAAGAAAGGTAAAAACATTCATGATCCAAGTGATATTTTACATGTTACATGCGGTTTAAGATTGCTTTTGTAGTATTTTACCACAATATGTATACTGTTTACTAACGCAGTAAGGGCTGATTTTGCATATGTTGACTTTACCACTTTTTGGTATTCTTCTTAGATTGTAAGTGCCGATTGCAATATGTAATTTTTTTATTTGTTCATCTTACAATATTTTACTTTTAAATACACTTTCATAACTTTCATAAAAAATAACATGAATCTGAAGGCGTGCTGCTTTAACACTCCACATTTACTTTTGGATGGCCATGACGTCACTTTAAGAAATTTACTGGTGAATTTGTCTAATTCGGAACCGTTGTAAATATAACATGGATAAGTGCCTTTCACTATCATGTGTGTATGGATAGTATAGTATTACTTATTGACCATAGTCCCTGCAATGAGGGACGTTGTAGTGTAGTGGTAGGTGTAGTTTCTTCAATCATACTAGTGCGGGTTCAAATCAAAGAAGTTTTTTTTCTTCAAATTAATATATTTTCAATGCACGGGTACTTCGTTTTTGTGTCATGCATATAAAATACACATCTCGTGTTTAATACAACTGACTTGAGATTGTGGCTACATGTGACACTACATGGCATGCAACTTAAACCATCTTTTTTTGCGAGCATGCGAGTACGGATAATGTTTGGTTGAAGTGAATGTTATGGCACTGTATCAAGGACGTCATCACACTTTTGTACTTAATTTCGTTGGAAACGTGTCGCTATTTGTGTGATAAGGTACTTTATAAACAATGAAAACAAATACCATATATAACTCATGTCAAAGGAGTACAACTTGATATATAACCTGTAATTAAGCTGACCTGTAATATATATAATTATTTTTTATGAATATAATGAATACCTGTTGTTGACACAGAATAACAGATAATTATCGTTCCTCAAAGCTAACCCACTCAAAGTAGGTCGATACAGAATTTATTTTAATTCAATTTTATAGGACTCTTTAAGCTTTAGTTAAAGTAAAGACTTAAGCTTTGGAATCAGTTCCGGGAACCAACCAGTAGTGAGCAAAGAGTGTAAAGTTTCTTGTTCAAGGAAACAACGACTTGCCCCTGACAGGGTTTGAACCCATGTGGCTGGTGATTATTAGGCTACTAGAATACCAGTCCGCCGCGATAACCACTCGGAAATGCCGTCACTTTATCATCGTTTTGGTTTAAAAGTTATTCAACACAGACACATCAACTAAACAAAATATATAACGACCAAAATATTCAATGGACCGGAATCTTAACATGTGAATATCCGTCTTAAACATATTTTTGTTTCAATTAATTTCTATTTTCACTGCATGTAATTGATCAATTTACAAAAGTAGTTAAATTCTACATTACAGATTAATCTATAATTGTTTTACATATCAAATCAAAGGATGAAAAAAAATGAATTAAACTACTTGTCTTATATCTTCAACACACAGTCGTCCATTTGGTAGAATACTTGAAAATAGTGTTGACCAGATCAACAGTACAAAGACATTCTGACGGTATAAATTCAGCTCAATGCCCCAAACTAAAACTTTATCAAGTTTTGCACCATGATATACCCAATCGCATTGACTCGGTGGAAACATAGAAAATGTTTCAAAAGAAATCACCTCACAAGTTTCTCTGACAAATACAACGTATCATAGTTGTAGCCTAAGGTCTTCAGCGAACCCGTTTATATACTATGATATGACGTTTAATGCCACATAAGATGTAAAGCAAAACTGTGAACAACAACTATCATTGTTGATGAGTTATTCACCGGACATGCATCAATAACGACTAGTTAAATATCATTAAGGGAGATAACAGTTGCGGAC